ATGTGGCAGGTTAAGTTATATGAGATGAGACTTGGGAATTAATCATTTGAATCTTATAATGACTCTTAGCATAAGTCCTCTTGTGAAAATATGAACTAAATTGCTACCTTCCTCTGTTTGGAAATCGACTTCGGAATAAATGATAATCTTTAAGCATAATGTCGTGGCTCTAGATACATTCTTCTTTAAAATGAACCATGACGTCAAATAGGTCAAATATGGAATGACTTCAACTTGCTTGTACCACAACTCCTTTATTTCCTGAACTTAGTTTTGACTTGAATTCGTAAACACAGCTTGAATTATGGGTTTTGAGATCAAATGTGAGCTTTTCTCTTTTTTAGAAACGAGGACCCACTTCTTAGAGGTACCATAGATCGGAGCTTCAAGGTTAATTCAAATAAGTGTTCCCTTGGGGTCTCAGAACTTGTAGTCTCCCTTTTAAAGGCTTGAAAAGAATCATCTAGATGTGAATCTTGATTTAAACTTTGAGGGAGAATGCTAATCCACTTGGAATTATTGCCTCTGCGCAAGTTGGTTAGCCATAACAAACATACATACAAAAGTAAAATGAAAGAAACAAGACAGGGAGTGCACAAAGAGGTGGAGTCTTAAGGTCAAAAATTAGGGTGCGACAGTTGGTTCTTCATAAGAGATTCTCACTGAATCCTTCTTGGCATTCTCAGTCCAATCCCATTCTTTAAGCTTATCTATGATCTCGCCTCTGCTGATCACTACCTGCTTATTCACTGGGTCGAACAACTTGTAACCTCCTGTCAAATGATATCCTATCAAGATCATCTGATTCGACTTATCATCAAGCTTCCTTCTCAACTGATCTGGCACATGTCTATGTGCTATAGATCCAAACACCTTCAAGTGACTGAGACTAGGCCTGACACTAGACCAAAATTCTTCTAGTTTGATTCCTTCAAGCTTCTTCGTCGGACATCTATTCAATATATATGTTGTTTTCGAAACTGCTTCTCCCCATAATTCTTTAGGTAGATGCTTTCCATTCAACATACTTCTCACCATATTCATGATGGTTCTGTTCTTGCGTTCTGCAATCCTATTTTGTTGTGGAGTGTAAGGTGTCACCACCTCATGCACAATCCCTTCTTTTACACATAGTGTATTGAACTCTTTTGATACATACTCTCCACCACCATCAGTCCTTAGTGTATTGAACTCTTTTGATACATACTCTCCACCACCATCAGTCCTCAGAATTTTCAGCTTTCGACCATTCTGTCTTTCGACCATGGACTTTAATCTGGAAAATACCTCAATCACATCACTTTTCTTCTTGATGAGGTAAGTCCACAACTTTCGACTGTAATAATCTATAAACGTGACAAAGTATCTATTGCCACCAATCGAATCCACCTGAATTGGACCACATACATCAGAGTATATGACTTCAAATATTGCCTTTGACTTCCTTCCTGCATCCTTGCTGAAGCTATTCTTGTGTTGTTTCGACTGAACACACTCCTCACAGACTTCACTTGGAATGTCGACTTCTGGTAATCCTGAAACCATATTTCTTCTCTTCAGTTCTCCGATGTCATTAAAGTTGAGATGACCAAGTCGAAAATGCGAAAACCACTCATCTCTGCTGGCTGCAGTTGCTAGACACTTGTGCTCCATCACATTGAGTCCAATCTTGAAGGTCCTATTCTGATACATTAGAGCCTTCAAGATTAATCTACCACCTGCGTCGAGAACTCTCATCATCTTGTCTTTGACAACTACCTTGTAGTTCTTTTTGACAAGCTGCCCTATACTGAGCAAATTACTCTTCATGCCTGGTATGTACAACACATTGGAAATTTTTGACCTTTTGCCATCTTTCCTCATAATCAGAACATCACCAACACCTTCGGCTGCTAGAGTGTTGTCATTTGCAAACTTCAATGTGTTCTTCAACGAGGGCTTCATGTTGACAAACCAATATTTCCTTCCAGTCATGTGTGATGGGCATCCTGAGTCCAAGTACCACTGATCTTGGAATCTTTATTCATCTTTTGTTGTGACCATTAGCAATGTTTCTTCTTCTTCATGTTTCGCCAGCTTTGCATAAGTCTCTTGATTTCTCTTCCTTTCTGGACAATCACTAACATAATGACCATACTTCTGGCAATTGACACATTGAATGTGGATTTTGTCTGTATTTCGACCACCACATCTTCCTTTACCTGCAGCACCACCTCTTTGGTTGCCTTGGTTCCAAGGTTTCTTCTGATTCGACTGGTTTCCTCCTTTGTTGCTATTCCAGCTACCTTTGCCTTTTCTTTCCTTTTTTGACTGCGCCTGCAAAGCCATATCTTTCGACTTTCCTGTAGCTCTCTCAGTCATCCTCTGTTCATGAGACTCAAGAGTCCCTTGAAGCTCTTCCTTCGTCAACACTGACAGATCTTTCTACTCTTCTATGGCAACTACCACGTGGTCGAATTTTTGAGCCAACAATCTCAAAATCTTTGAGACAACTGCTTTCATCGTTAGCGCTTCTCCACATACTTTGATTTGATTCACCAACTTTGTAACTTTGGTGAAGAAATTTGTAATGCTTTCATTGTCTTCCATCTAAAGCAACTCATAGGTTCTCTTGTGAGTTTGTAACCTCACCTTTTTCACCTTCTCTGCGCCTCCAAACGACTTTTCAAGAATCTCCCATGCTTCTTTTGCTGAATCAACATCACTAACCTTTTCAAAGTTATCAGGATCAACACACTGATGAATTATAAAGAGTTCTTTATAATCCTTCTTCTTCAATTCATTGTGCGCAGCCTTTTCCGCCTTCGTTGTGTTCTCCCCAAGCGATGTTACTTCGTCCTTCACAAGATCCCAAAGATCTTGATAACATAAAATCACCTTAATCTGCTTGCACCAATTCTCATAACTGTTTTTCTTGAGAATTGGCAGGGTCGCCGGAAAGTTGTCGTTCAGATAGTTCATCGCCATCACTATCTTCCTTCCTTGAATCTCTCAACCGGAGCTCTAGATACCAGATGTTGGAAATTCACCTCACACCCTATGAAGAATTCCCTTCAATCTTAATCTCAAGATTGATGAACAAACCCACAATATGATAGTAATGGTGATAACAAGTAAAGAGTTATCAAGAACAGAAAAAGAGAAGAAGAATAACAAACAAACAGTAAGAAAGAGAAGAATGAGAGAAGAAATATTTGGAGAAAATTGTGTTACCCACAAACTGTGGGATTTCTGATTACTATTGAACTTTCACTTGATAAACTCTGCAACTGTGAAATCTGTTCTATGTTGAATATAAAGCAAGGCACCCTATTTATAGTTTTAGGTTTTCAAAAGCCCAAAACATAAAAGGCCCAAAATATTCAAATCAAATCTAATCTAAATCATATCAAATCAAATCTGTTTCGACACACTATGAATTACATTTAACAAACTTAGGTTCGTTGAAGCTTTTTGTGTGTGTGTTGTGATTTCAACTCAAATATTTAACATCGAAATTTTTCTCAAGTTTGCGTTCGAATCTTTGGCTTAGCTCAAGAATATTGACACCTTAAATTTTTGTTTGTTATTGCTAGCAGCACACCATTTGTACTAATACAATCACTAACAAATCAATTTTTTATCGCAATTTTGGACATTTTGTAAGAGTCTTAGTGGACATCAGCCTAATGAAAGATCTAAGATACAAAAAATTTGGTTGAGAGGCAAGGTTTTATTCTCGTTGTGGAACTTGAATACGAAAATCTTTTTGTTTTTTATGAAGATTTTAGAATAATTAGTCATGATAAGATATACTCACAGAAAAATCCTGACAATGGAAATAAGATGGCAAGCCAGGATAGGAGAATGCCTCATAAGAAGATTTTTGTTCCAAAAAATGCCAAGAGACTAAGGGAAAATGTTATAGATGTTAACTCAATTGCCATATGGATAAGGAGGTCCATAATAACCCTTAAGTTGCAACTAGTAATGTTAACAACACTATTGCAATTCAAACTAATACCTCGTATCAGAGTCAGGTCCCCCACGCCCTGGCTCCTCAACTTGTTGTTCCTACCTCTAGGGGACACACTGTTGTACCTTAGTTGGGTTCAACAGGACATCAATTTTCTGAAGATTTCTCGGGAAACTATGACTGAGATAGATGACTTAGAAATGGAGCAGAATCATGATTTTCAGGTAGTGAGAAGGAATTATGTAAATCTAGGACTGCTAGCTCTAAGAGACCCTACACCACCATACCAATGGGGCGGTGTTCCAAATCTTCCCAATGAAATACATCTTCTATAATACTAGAGGTTTGGTTAACTTTCCCTTAAAGCTTGTCCTCAAAAAGCTTATTGTTAAGCACAAGCTAAATTTTTTTTCTTACTGAGCCCTGGATGGACGCCAATACCTTCCCTACATCTTGGCTCAATAGATTTCCCCTTAAAATTTTTGTGGTCAATAAAAAAGACAACCTCCTCTAAGATATTTGGTTTCTTTGTGCCTTTCGCGTTTACCCTACCCTTATCAACTCTAATAACCAGAAAATATCATTCTCTATTAATGATAATGGCCTTAATCTTAATTTTTTGATGATTTATGCTTCCACAAATTACATCAAGAGAAAAGAGCTTTGGCATAACTTAAACAACATTCATTCCTCCTACCCGAGTCTCTGGTGTTTTGTTGGAGATTTCAATGCAATGATAGGGGCTCGTGAACATAAGGGTGTGCACACTTCTACTAACATTCCTATGGAAGATTTTAGCTATTGGACTGACACAAACCCGCTAATTCATATTCCCACTAAAGGCGTGGCTTTTACTTGGACTAATGGTCGCAAAGGCATCAACAACACTAAAAAAAGATTGGATCGATGCATTTTTTATTTAGATATACTTGAGGCTTGTTCTTCCATTTCATGTTCTACTTTAACCAAGGCTAGATCTGATCATTTTCCTCTTCTGTTGCAAATTGATACAAAGCCTATCAAGCACCATTCTCAATTCAGATTCATGAACACGTGGTCAATGCATCCTAAATGTAAAAAAATTATGTCAGAAAGTTGGAACTCTAGTGTCATAGGTTTTCCAATATACACTCTCAATAGAAAAATTAAAATTCTCAAAGACAACTTAAAAAGTTGGAATACTAATACCTTTGGCAACATTCATGAAATTCTTAAGAGGGTTAAGGATAATATTGAGGCTATCCAATTTCCTATTGATACTAGTGGCTATAATGACTCTCTTATGAATCAAGAAAGGCACGTTCAATTGGAGCTGGAGCTGGATATCTCCTATTAAGAAGCTTTTTGGAAAGAAAAATCTAGAATTAAGTGGTCTCTTGAAGAAAACAAGAATACCTCATACTTTCACAAACTTGCCAAAATTCACAAGTCCCTCAACCACATTAGTTCCATGAGAATTGGTGACATTTTACTAACTAAACAATAGGACATTGCCAACCATATGGTTTCCCTCTATACTGACCTTTTTAATTCTTCTTCTATTTTGCAACCTAATGGCATATTTAAAGAAATGATTCCAAACTTAGTCTCTACTAACATAAATGTTATGCTCACTCGTACTCCTTCCTCTGAGGAAATTCACCATGTTATTTTTGCCATGAATCTCAATAGAGCTCCAAGGCCTGATGGTTTTGGAGCTTCCTTTTTCCATAAGTTTTGGGACATTATCAAGGATGATCTGGTCAGAGTTTTGTTTGAGCTTTTCACCTCCAACTAGATTTTTCCTAATTTTAATTCCAACTTATGCTGTTCATCCCAAAGAACGAGAATTTTGACACTGTTGATCGATATATACATATTTACATGGCCAATTTAAAATTATAATCATTTTTAAAATATTATCTGGAAGACTTTCTACTATTTTGCATACCATCATTTCCAAGGAGAAAATGGGATTCATCTAGGTCAGTCAATCTCCTTAATGGAAGGTCCTTTGAATGTAACTTATGTATCAAGATTAATATGGCATATACCTTACACACTCTTGGCTGGAGCTTTATTCTCAAAGTCATGTCTCAATTTGGCTTTTACAAGACTTTTTGTGACTGGATATAAATTATTCTTCATTATGTAAAGCTTTCTATCTCTCTCGATGGTGTCTATCATAGCTACTTCTGTAACACCATAAACTCTGAAATAGATAAATCATATAATATATCAAGCATTGATCATAATGCACACATTTAGGATGTCACTCTTCATAAAACAACACATAATTCATACACATATCAAATAAGGTAAAACATTCAAATACACATGTCATCACATGCTCACCTTCACTTAGGGTATCATCACAACTGAATCATCAAATAAGCATGCTTCACAATCAGTAAATTTCATTGAAATTCCTTATTTGAATTAAAACAACTATGGCAAAAGTCTCCACCAATTACATAAGCTCAAAACGTCAAGAGTATAACATATGACTCTCGATTAACAAAAACATAAATTGAATAAAACAATCAAACATTCTTAACCCCAATGTTATAGGATCAGAGCAAGACTTCTAAACAACGATGAACTAAATGAAGTAACTCCAAGAGCTAACTTCCACTTACTCCAGCAAACTCTAATCCTAAGTATCTACAAGATGTCCATGGTGGACAACATCAAAGCAAAAAGGGTGAGAAACAACAAACTAATATAAATTTAGTGTAAAGAATGTTAAGGTAGAGAATACACAACAAGCACACATTCATTATACATCCATCAATAACATGTTCTCGCACCTAAATCATGATAACATTACACAATCACATCCAACCATCAACATCATAAACAATCAACTACATATGCAATCATGTATGCAAATGTACTCCACAACTAACTTATTATGCATGCGGTACCATTCATGAACACTCAAGTTCATCTCGCTCCTAATCCCCATCATAGGACCAGAGCACACCAAATTATTACCATCACCATAGGTAACGCTTCACTGATTCCTACCTGAAAACAACTACTCACCCCTGATCTCCGCCATAGAACCAGAGCACACCAAACTGGATCGTAACTCATATACCATGATGCATGACTCTCAACAACATGCATTTTCACCAAGAAGTTCACCAAAAGAATCACCAAGCTCATCTCACCATTTATACACATCGTCATTCAATATGTGCAACAATTAATTAATATTACAACATTAATAAACAACAACAAACAACAACAACTCAACAAATGTAACTTCATAGACATTTATTCATATTACTTCACCAAAACAACAACACATCATCGTATAAACATCACAATTTACGAAATTGTTCATCTAATCCTCGATATATAGGGCCTGTTTGTTTTAGTTTTAAAAAAATATAGATTTTTTCTTTTTATTTTTAAAAATGGATTTTGTATAACTTTCTTTTAAAATATTACAAGTTTTCCTATATTCATTTTTTCAAAACTGCAAGACTAGTTTTGATATCATACAACATAAACATACATTTTTTTCTAAAAGCCATTGAATTACTACTGACCACAAAAAGTGTTCACATCAGTACAACAAGAATTACACAGACAAAACAACAAAGAAAAATTTCCCACCAACTCAATTCTACGTTAAATTTCCTATAGGATCCAAACAAAAGGACTGAAAATCTAAGTTGGACACTCGATCATTTCCAAGCGAACATTTTAATCGACCAACATATATCATCTAATTTGAAATCTCCATTATTAAAAATAATGTTGTTCCTATCTTTCCAAATGCACCAAACAGTATTTAACCATATAAAGCCTAACTTAAGGTTGCCTTCTAAACAGGCACCCAAGCTACACAAGTCCATAAAAATCATGCAAATGTTTCCTACAAAACAGATCCTAATACTGTACCAATCCCATATCCTTTCCCACATTGCCAAGATAGAAGAACATTCAAATAAGGAATGTTGAATAACCTCCTGTACCAAATAACAGAATATGCATTCAGTATCTAACTCATGAAGTCCTCTCTTCATAAGTTCTACTTTAGTAGAAATTCTGTTCCACAGCAGCCTCCAGCCAAAACAGATTATTTTTGTCGGCAGCTTGATCTTACAAAGCACACCAAATGCTTTACTTTGGTGGTTTAACAGATCAACATCAGGATTGTCTACAAGCATAAGCAGATACGACTCATTCACGTTATAGCAAGCATTTTTGCCTATATTCCAAACAAAATTGTCTTTTTTTCCAAGATAGGTCTTGAATTGCGCAGTAAACACCAAAGCTCATTGACCCTATCAGCCTTCTCCAATTGGTCCTGCAAAGATAATCTAGAGACATACATTATTAAAGATCAAAGCATAGTCGAAATCACAATTTTTGAAAAAAGTTGTATCTCAAAAATGATTTTTATGAAAAGCTATTTGAAATAGAATTAAGTGATTTTTTTAAATTTTCATATCTAACTTTGTTTTGATAAAATGTTGATATATCTAAAATAACATTTTAAGAATCACTATTCAAACCAAATTTTCATTTGAAACTTTTATGAAATGTTTCTTAGTAAAATTTTTTTTCCACAAAATTATGTTACACTATAAAAATCATTTTAAAAAAAAGATAAAACAAACGGGTTTATATTCATACATCACTTCAACAGGTTAATTTATCATGTTGAACATCACCAAACAACAACCCGACATTGAAAAACGGGCCGACAAAGCGACACAAAATGACAATTCAGCATTGTCTCTCGCTAAGCGAAGCCTTTGCTCGTTAAGCAATCTCTCGCTAAGCAACATATCTCTCGCTAAGCAAAACTCACAGAAAACCAGAACCCCCACCCTGTCACATTCGCTTCAGCGAACACAACAACTCCCTAAGTGAACTCTCGCTAAGCGTATTCATCCTTGCTAAGCGAACACGTCCAGACCTACAAAAATACAGAACACGATTTGCCTCTATAGCAACCCCAAAATTCTCCTAATTCAATCCCAAACATCTCCAATCGCCTAGAAAATCACATCAAATTTTATATCATCATTAGGACGTGTTAAATCACATAATTTCATTATTAAACTCATTTAATTTTATCAATTCATGTTCATGTTCATATTTTTAACAACTTCAACAATGGCATACACACATAGGAACAAAAATAGAATCTTATACGTGTAATTCAACACACAAATTTGCATAACAACATCCCAATCCTCGGATTTTCAGAACCAAACATCAACAATAACAATTATAAGTAAACCATACAATCCATAAAGAGAGTAATGACGTCTCATCTCTACCCTTCATGCGATACACCTTAGATTGGTAGCTCTTTCTCCCTCTTACCTTATATTTCCAGCTATGATAATGAATTGAACATTTTCTATGAGTTCCCTTTTCAAATTCCTAACTTTTTTTCTTTCTCTCCTCTTTGCCTCTTCAGAATATATAGTACCCCTATCATTTTTTATTAATTATGATTTTTCCCAACTCATTACTAGCTTATCTATTTTTACCACCTATTTTCTCCAATTCTTACAATTGGCTCATTTCTATCATTCTACTAATTAGTTAATTAATTCAAATAAAATACTATTTATTCTAATAATTAATTAAAATTCTCATAAACTCTAAACAACTAATCGAACTCCTACTCTCTCAATACCCGTATTCCAAGGATACCTACCCCCACAATACATAATCAAATAATTTTTTTTAAATCGCACCAATATCAAATAATCAAATAAAACCAATCAAAATAATTAAATTAAATAATTTAATCGAATTTGGGGTGTTACAAGTTCTCCTATAAAATAGGGGTCAGACAGAGTGACCCCTTATCTGCTATCCTATTTTGCATTGCAAATGAGGTGCTCAGTAGAGGTATTTCAAACCTTGTGGAGCAAGGCAAGTTGAACTTGATATCAGGGTGGAAAGCAATGAATATCATTTCCTAATCCTTCTATGTAAATGATGTCATGATTTTTTGTAAAGGAAATATTTATAACATTAAGGACATCTTGCACTTGTTTGCCAGATATGCAATTGCCTCGGGTCAGAGGATAAGCCCTTAAAATTCCACCATTTTTTATGGATCCATATCCAATCATAGACTTCATCTTATTGCTAAGATGCCTGATTTTAATATTAGGAACATCATTTTACCTACTTAGGGTGCATATATTTCGAGGGAAGCCTAAAGCCAAGCATATCAAGACCATTGTTGATAAAAATAAGACCAAGCTCTTGAGTTAGAAAGCTTCTCTTCTCTCCATATTTGGGAGAATGTAGCTTGTGAAAAGTGATATACATAATATGCCTTTGTACAATATTCGTATCTATTCTTGGCCATGTAGTCTCATCAAGCAATTGAGTTATGGATGAGAAATTTTATTTGGAGTGAGGATATAACTAAAGAAAGTTAGTCAATGTCTCTTAGGTTAAGGTTTACAGACCCCCTCAATGAGGGTGGCCATGGCATCAGAGATTTATCAATGCTAAATGAAGCCTTCCTCCTAAATAAGGTTTGCAAACCCATCACTTATTTGCAATGGAAAGGGGTTTTATGGAGCATATACACCCCCTATATGTCTTAAATAGTTTGAAGATTAATGCACAATAGACTTCTTTCTGGAGAAAACCTCAAACTTTGAGGCTGTCACGTCCCTTTTATGTGTAACATCTACAACAACAATTGAGACTCAATATTTCACATCTTTTTCACCTATGACTTTTCAATTTCTCGTTAGTTTTGGTTGAGTAGTATATTGAACTTTCCTTTTTCTCCTCTTA